TGATTGATAAAGTCCCTTGAAAATATAGTTGCCCATTATATTTATATAAATCAACTGTTTTCCAATAAGGAGGGGGCAATAATGGCGGTCGTTAATCATCCTCGGGTGACAGTATAAATAATCTGTCAGCTTTCTTTCTATCATCTTCAAGAAGTGTGTGTTACGTAGTCAACAATCTTTCACTTTTTCCTTTCTAGATTAATGAAAAATCGAACACGAGATTAAGTAGAGGTTCATAGCGGTACATTGTTTGCTGGATTGGCGTTTTCTATGTAGTGGTATTTTTCAAGTCTCCACTTAAAGGACTTATCGCATACTCTTTTAAAAAAATCGTAATTTTATGAAAAATATTATCTACAACCTTGTTATATAAATGTGTTTTCATCAGGAGAAGCCATACTGGTTTTGGCCTAAATGTCCGTCTCTGTGTCCTTCTAGCTGTCTGTCCATCACAGACCAGGTCGTATCTCCTGAACCCTTGACTGTTATGGGTTTCAACTGTATTATATTTTTGTAATTCATCATGTCAGATCACGACCTTGACTTAAGGTCATATTTCAAAGATCAAGGTCAGCGGATCGAAGAGTGTTTGGGTATCTTTTGTGGAAATTCGATTGAAATAGATTGAAATTTGCATATGCTTTTAATGATGACATAGAAGTATAAGAAGTATTAAGAACACAGAAGAAGAGTAAGAATCAAGGTCATTTCTCAAAGGTCGTGTCCCTGTCACACAAATTTAAAAACGTTTGATTAGAAAGAATTCAAACTTGAATGTTTTGTTACTGATGAGTACAAATGTGTCATGACAGGAATTATTTATATCAAAGGTAAAGATCATATCGTGAAGGTTATATAATAATTTTCATGAGTATAATCAGAAATTTATTATAAAGTACATTAACTTTTACAAATTAATACTTTTATGACTTTTTGCAAATAGGTTGGTACTCTGAATATACATTCAACCAATTATTTAACATTACTTTAATAGATATAATTTTTCTGATTGTCGAAAAATCTCAGTAGTTAATGTTTAGAGTTTTCTTAACATATAATACCAATGTGAAGAGAAAGTTAATGATTTAGATTTTTCGTTTTATTGTGCAAGTTTAAATGATTTCGTCTGGAAAATGTGATTTTTTTTATATGTTTTGATTTATATATATGACTTTTTATTTATAAGATCAAATTGTGAAAACGTTCATATTGAAAAACCGTGTACAAAGAATTTAAATGAAAAGCCTACGATAAGAAAGGAAATATACTTTTATAAACCAATGGTTTGTGATGACTTTGCATTATAAATGGAAGCAACTGACAAGAAGTGAGGGGTTAGTAACAGAGGAAGGACAACTTCTGAAGCTGTCCGAACTGAAATAGACTCGAGCAACAGTTGTTTTTCTTACTTATCGATTACTTAAATATTAGCAATCTTTTATTGTGGATTTTTATCAGTGGCATGCCCGATGGGTTATTATATATATTTTCTACAAATATTGCATCCAAAATAGAAACCAAAATCATTTTTCATTAAAAAAATTACTGGAATTGGAAGCTAAAGCATTGTTAGTCCCACGTCTTCTCGTAGAATGGTATGTTTCTCATGTTACATTTGCTGAATATCCATAATTTTTGGTCAGCACTGAGATCGTAATTTATACTTCTTTATGAATACGAAGTTTTATTTTTTGTCGCTCAGGTTATGTATATTTAATGTTGTCCTTTTTAAACTAAAGTATGTTTAAATAACTGCTCTACTTCGTCATTGAGCTGTATGAAACCATGGAATGTGACTCTGCTCATCGATTATTGATATGCAGGAAATGACATTTTTGAAATTTTATAATGCATTCCTCTTGGCTATGAAGAATACAGCCAGTTTGCGTAAAATTCAACCAATTTTATATGTACATAATCAAGATGATGGGAGAATTGCCAACATTTAAAAAGTTCAAATCGATGTCGAACATGAGTGAGTACTCTATGAAGCCACAATCCGGATTGGTACTGAGGTATATTATCCACTGGGGAGGGAGAATTAGAAATGTCTCTTACAGAGCAGAAAAGACATTTTACACTGTGAGAAAAAAAAAGGAATTTTTAATTTACTTGAGATTGGCTTTATGTATTGAAATTAATTGAAGGTTAATTCCATTGAAATTTTAAATTGTGATATCCGATAAGCCGTGAAATTGTCGCTAGCTTACAGCAGCTTCTGTTGAAGACTTGTGACGGGTAAATGGCCTTAAGTGACACGATCGTGTCAGGAAATCCATGTTAAAGATAACAGGATACGGATGCAGGGCTGTATAAATGACCTCAGATGAATTCAAGGACATGTAAAAAAAAAAAAAAAAAAAAAAAAAAAAAAAAAAAAAAAGATGAATAAATAACGAAAAGAAAGGAAAGAGACCCTAAAATAACCATTTTATTGTCATTTATTTGAAATCGAGTTTACATGTACAAGCATAGATAAAATTTGAAAAGAGTTAAAAGAACTTTGCAGTAATGTACAGTATTGCCTCAATCATATCGAAAAGATATGAAATGTATCGATTCAGAGGTCGCTGTTCACAACTTTGTGAATGCAGAATTTACATTGAAAGGCATACGAAGCAGAGTCTTTCTTGGACAAGACTTTGTAGGAAATTTCTCTCTCACACTAGTTTCAATGCAATGCTATTTACATTTAATTCTTGAAGGTTTCTGCTGTAAATTTATCAATATAATGTCTTGCAGTAGTAGTCTTTTGAATATATATATTTGGAATATATGTTCTATTGAACTTTTACAGATCTGTTTGTCTGTTTGTCCGCAAAAAAATTTAACCTTGCCCATAACCTTTGATTGGTTGCAGCTTTGGTTTTCATATTTCACATGTGTATTTTTGTGGCAAGACTTTTCTTTGGGTACCAACATATTTGACCTCTTGTCCTTGACCTTGGAGTTTGACCCACTTTTGCAAAATTTTACCAAACGTTCACCTTGGCCATAACTTTTGAATAATAAGTGCTAGGGCTTTGACGTACGTTTGAAAAACTTTAAACTTGGCCATAACTTTTGAAAGTTAGTGCTAGGGCTTTCATATTTCACATGTGTACTAGTGTTTCTGAGACAAGACCTTCCCTGGGCTACCAACATTTTTTTTACCTTTTATCTTGACCTTGGAGTTTGACCTACTTAAAAAAATTATCCTTAGCCGTAACTTTTGAATGTTGGTGCTAGGGCTTTTATATTTCACAGTTTTAATTCTTCTGACAAGGCCTTCGCTTAGGTACCGTTTATTTTGACCCTTTGACTTGGCCTTGGAGTTTGACCTACTATAGAAAAAAAACTTTAACCTTGGCCATAACTTTTGAGCAGTTGGTGCTAGGGCTTTCATATTTCACAGCTGTATTCCTTGTGAGAAGACCTTTCTTTGGGTATCAACATGTTTTACCTCTCTTGAATCTGACCTTGGAGGTTGACTTGCATTTTAGAAACTTTAGTCTTCGCTATGAGCTGCCATACCGGGCATCAGTGTTTCACAAGCACATCTTGTTATTTAAATGTCATATAATGACTTTTACGTTATATGTGGGGTTGTTTGTTTTTTTGTTTGTCTTTTATCTGGAATTTTGATTTTGATTTCACTGTATGTGTACCTATGAACAGGGAATAATCTCTAGTTTGAAGTAATCCCTAATCCCATTTACATATAAATTAGATAAAACACTGACTTTATCACCATTCGATTGTACAGTAATCTTATAGGATTAATTTCTAAAACCTCAATAGAATTTTTAAATTTTTATCTAGTTTTCTTTTTAAGTTTGTTTTGGCCATTTATATACTTGGCACGTGCATTTTGCTTGCAGTGTTTTCTTTTCCTCACAGCTACAAACATCCATCAAATGCCACCTTTATGCTCGTTAATCGAAGAAAAAAAACAACAGAAAAGTGACAAATACTGTAAAGTGGAGAAATTCAGCGATACCGATCCGATTCGTCATACTGTTGATCATTATTAAAGCAAAGTTATTTTTCTTCACCTTGTTTTAAAGGCAAGGACTTGATCCCCGCGTGCCGTTGTTGGTGAATGAATGTTTGGATTCAATACCCCATCGGCAATAAATTCCATTAGTTCTACTAGATACTTTATTTTTTATCACTTCTTCATCTGCAACCGAGGGCTATCATCTGCTGCATGAGTAACAAAAATTATCAAATTGCCGTTAAGTATTCAAAAAATAAATCTGTATCAATTCTTCAGATGAGCGAGAATAACGCCTGGTGTATTAGTCAATGTATCGTTATAAAGAAACATAACCGTGTGTAATAAATTCTAAAATCTCAGGTGGTTTAAATGCTTTATTGATTGATGTATTATTTCCACCTTTACAACTGAGTCTACATCACACCTTTCTTCCTATTTAAAACTACCTGCAAAATAATTACTAAATTCATCATCAAATAATCTGAAAATATTTACTTCTAGAAATAGAGCTGATAAACCCTTCCAAAGAGAGCTCTTAAGCCTTTACATTAGTAGAGTAAATTTTACTTTGGCAAACAAGTAGCAAACTCTAATATTTACTCAGAAACATAAAATACGGCTTAATGATCAAATAATGATTTGATAAATGCGTAAAATGTTTGTTCATTTCCAAAGAAATTATATAGCATTCGATCTACAAACAAAATAGGAAATTGACAGAGAAAGCTGTTCTCTTTGATAAGTTACGCTTAAAAAATCTATGTGCAGTATCAGTGCAGAAAATATTTGCTTTTTGTACAATTCATGGCCACTTTTTTCATTTCCATTCAAATCACAAAGTTGTCCAAGACCGATCTGACCACACTACATACCCAAACAATGAAGAAAGTAAAGGACAATTCCTGTCCAGAAAAGAGCAATTTATACCCCACAACCTAGCACGCCACACGATCATTAATTTTGCTAATCAACTCTGAAAGTAGCGCGGAAAGTTTTTAATGTTTGTCTTTTTTTTTTCCAGGAATAAATTCACACAGCCAAAAACAGATAAAATCAAAATTGATAGATTGGTCCAGATTCAACAGGTACAAAGGTATGACAATTGACAAGATTTCGTCATCCAGGTAGATGGATCTACGGAATCGAAGGGTTACCTAGCAACGTTTTAGCATGTTTCACAGCATCTTTTCAAGATACCACTTGATTTAACCAGAGAACCAATCAGAAACCTTGTTGTATCTGAAAACGGAGAAATCTCATTATGCCTTTACCAAACAATACTAGCAATACGAGCAGCAAAAGCGGATCGCTGTTAAGCCGTGTAGGAATTAACAAGCTTCCTGGAGGGTCGAAAGGACCTACTCCCCTTCCTCTTTCTAGTCCCCCCACTGGGAAAAAAATGGGGAACGGGGCTAGTGCTTCTAGCATAAATGTGGATGGAGAAAACATAGATATTATCAAACTAAAGACATTGGTACCCGAACTTAAGAAAGAACTCAAAATCAGAGATGCCAAATTACAACGTTATGAAGCGGAACTTCACGAAAAATCAAAACTTTTGGAAGACAAGTGTATGGAAATTGCCAAACTGCGAGCTGAAGTCGATAAACTACAATCAGTGTTACATATTAAAGTTCATAAAAATGCAGGGACGGGAGGAAAATTCGACTTTTTGGCCACCATTCAGGAGGATTCACAAATGGCAGGTGCCCAGCAAGAGCTACGGCATAAAAAACAGGGAGTATCCGCGGAAAGTCCCATGACCCAGCAGAATGGCGTGGCAGTGGAAATCAAACATATAGAAAAAGATTTCAGGTCAGTTGTACGCGATTTTGGACCAAGCGTTATATATATATATATATATATATATATATATATATATATATATATATATATATATATATATATATATATATATATATATATATATATATATATATATATAAACATTAAGAACAATGTTACTGCTGTATAATGGCAAATAATCAAACTGTTTTACATTCAATATATGTGAACCTATATGATTAAAGCAGGTATCTTCATAATAAAATATGAGAGAAATGGCATGAAAAATCAATAAATAGTAAGTTCTTAAGCATTAAACGAACACCTGATCAATTAGCTTTGTTCACAAGTTAGGAAAAAAGCCAGGAAGAATATTTCTAACATAGAAATACCATAAAATAACCACAGACAATTTTATGACAGTACATAATGTCAGTCTCACACGGCGTTGAAATCAAAACAATGTTTCGAGTGATTTAAAAAAGTAATTTATTATCTGGCTAAACACAAAGCTGTCTACTTGATCAAGAAGTATTTGTACTGAAGGAGTCTAACATTTGGCATTTAGAGACATTAGATAAGTGTACAACTGATGACGAATAACGAAAGGCAATGATTTATTTTATTATCACTATAATGACCAACTCATATCCATAGATACAGCTCACATTTAACTAATTTAGGTCCACTCCTGTAGAATTATTATTTCTAATCAACAACTGTTTATTTTCCGAGACCTTGGTATATATATACAGCGTTTTGTGACGTAGACGCCGCATAAACAAAGTTAAATCTCTAATGAAGGCTTATAATTACAACACCTGTCGTACACCTCATCATATCACTCGGTCTATCAATATCTTTATCCCTTTGCACATAATTAAATGTTTGAAGTCTTAATACACCAAGTTCTAATGAGTTTCCTATTATCCTACAAATATCATTTCCTTGACACATTTGATCTTGCTTGTCTAAGTTTAACTTGTAATATTTACGTTTAATTGAGAAAAACAACTCCGTTTTCACGGAAATCTCACCAGCAGAATATTTTTTTCCATCTCTGTTTCCCATTATTCATTATAATTATTAGGTCCTTTTAATCTGGACTTAATGGGTCTTAATCTGTACATAACTTTCTATTCTGTGCAAAACCCTCTATTCTGCATATAACTATCTATTTTGTACATTTGAAATGTCTTTACAGATCAAAACAGCTGATAAAAGATGCAATTCTAGGCAACGATTTCTTAAAAAATCTGGACTCTACACAGGTCCGTGAAATTGTGGACTGTATGTACGAGAAACGAATCAAACAAGGAAACTACATAATCAGGGAGGGGGATGCTGGTCAACATGTGTACGTCTCGGCAGGTAAGGAGTCGGTAGACCAGAAACTTCAAAAATACCAAACTCCAAAATCCTTGGAACAACGATATTTACGCAAAAGCTGTTTTAAGGATAAATAACACAAACTTTTTTTTTCACAAATCAGCAATATTTCTCATAGATTTATATTCAAACAGGTAACCAGAATAATATTTGCCAGGTAAAGTGGAAGAATTTGGTAAGATTTTGTCACAGTGTAAAAAATGTGTACAAAATTTTGTATATAATTACATAGAAAACAACTAAAAGTCGCATATCTAAGTACCAAAGAAAACTTGCGATATCTATATTTTAGGGATTTATTATTTTTGTCATTTCTTATCAAAATCAGTCAAAAAATATATATCATCCATGCATCAAATTTTTGTTTGTGTTACATATCCTTAATCTCCACTAAAAGAACAGAACAGCTTATGCGATGGCAAGATGCCCGTTGTCAGTCTGTCTGTCTGTAAACAAAATTCAAAATGTTTTTTTTTTTTGATTGTTAGAAAAATTTGGACCGATCGATTTCTAAAACATTTGATACACAAGTAGACTCAGTTAAGATATATAATATTTTCTTTACCAGTTTTTGATTTTGATGAACAGTATTGCCAGGAATAATAAAAATAGGAATTTCTGTGAAATTCTGTCAAAACGCTATTCATCCTACAGCTTTGACCCAATTTCAATAATAAAAAAAAGATATACAAGTATACTTAATTAACTAAGACACATATTTCTATATAATGTTTTTGATTCAAATGAACGGTGATGACATATTTACCAAAAATAGGAATTTCTTTGAAATTCTTTCAAAACGCTACTCCTCCTACAGTTTTGTCTGATTTCAATATAACTTGATAGACTAGCAGTTTACACTAAGGTACATTTTTTTTACTATTTTTGATTTCTACGAATGGTGTTGCCATGATCATTAATGCTAGACCTGTTCAAAAAATATACACCAGTGTAAAACATTAAGATACATAATTATGTGTGTGGTTGTTTGGTATAACGGAGTTAATTAGATTAATTATAAAACCTAACGAAAGGCTAATCCTCCAACATTTTAATCCGAGTTGAATAAAACTTGCCACACAAGGAAACTAAACCAAGGACCATAATGCTAATTAATTATGTTGCCATAGTTTCTAGTTTATGTGTTTCTTTTCTAAGTACAATCCAGTAGAGCTACAGTCATGCCAAGTCTGGTACATCAAATCTCATGTGATTAAATGAACTGAGATTTGATAATAGTACAGTCGGGCATATGACATAATATTCAGAGTAAATCGGGTTTTCATCTAATTTCAAAATATATAGACCTGTAGGCAAAACACAAAAAATAGGTGAATATATACATACAAATTACATAGCGAGTGTTAGTAGTTCCATATATAGTATTGTCTATATAAAATCTCAAATACCTCCTGCTGTTATGCAATAACCATTCACGTATATGTGTAATTTTCATAAACATCCTTTCATTTTGAATAATTAGGACAATCTCTAGACATGTTGATTTTAATTATTAGATAATAAAACTATTTAAAACAGATAAAGAGAGAGAAAACAGTCATTGTCCAAAACTTAAAAAAAGTCTTTGAAGAGTCAGTTTGTGTTCGGTTATAGTGTCCTTTAATCTCGTGGGAAAACAAACTGATCGATATAATGCATACTTTTCGTTAATTATCTTAATTAAATTATTTTAAATCATTAAAAGTCTTGTTTTCTACTTGCATTACTAGTAAACACATTTGTTTTCAAACAACATGTTATTAAATTTTTTGTTTCATGGTGAGAAACGTTCTCTTACTGGTTTTAGAAGCATATATAAATCTACCGGAAACATTTCTAAATAATTGATATTAATTTGTTTGTTTATTGTTTAACGTCCCTTTCGAGAATTTTTCACTCATATGGAGACGCCACCACTCGCCGGTGGAGAGCTGCAAATTTTGACCTATACTCGGCACTTAGGGCCATTGAGCAGTGAGAGATCTTTTTCGTGCCAGCACCTACTGCGACACGGGACATCGGTTTATACGGCCTCATCCGAAGGACCGATCTCCACGTCCAACAGTGGGATTCGAACCCGCGACGTAAGGATCAACTCCTTACTTCGCGACTCTAGAGCGATCGAACGCTCTTATCACTGCACCACGCGGGCGACTAATTGATATTAAAGTAATATTACAAATGTATATGCATTAAATAAAGTTCACTTGAATTAGTGAAGGCGTATACAAGTGACAAAATTGTCATTTTTTAGTATCTGGTATATAGTTCGTAGTAAGCGCTCTAGGAAACAAGTAATTTGTATGCCCTTTAAAATAAAACTAGGGCTCTGCGATATTAAATTGGGAAAAAAACTTCTAATATATCACAAAAAAAATGGATGTGTTTCTTTTTCCTTTTCTTTTCTCTCATTATCGTTAAATTTTATAAAGGAATACTATCCATTATTCCAGAGGTATACAATAAACGAAACTCTTAATAAAAGTATCCACAAATTACTCATTTGAAGAATATGTGATATAATCTTGTTTAATGTAGTCGATGGCTAGAATTTATTTGAAAGTCACGTGGTACAATGGCGTCAATACTTTGAGTTCTTCATTTCCGTGCTTAAAAAATCATAAATTTTAGTTTCATATACATGTAATTGTTGTCGTTTGGTACAGAAATAATTAAACATATCGATATAAGTTTAAATATGTCCAGAATATGTCATTGACTTAATGTTGGGCTATAGTATTATAATGTAATCTAACGTCATTTTGACGTTACCGAAATTGACACCAACATCCTGCGCGACGTCAAAAGTGATGTCATATATTTAACATATATACCGGTATCCCCATAGAAAGACCCCATCAAACATATCTGTAGTGCAGTCGACTGTAAGAATATACATCCCTGAGACATGCTACATACATGTATATTATTCCTTATGTTCTTTAGACGTTAAACCTTCCTGAGAAACCTAATGGGGATCTTTGATTTTGTTTAGTTATGTTACAAATCTGATCAATTCAATTCTGTTAGATAAAAGCTACCAGTTTCTTGTACAGAGCATTTTAATAAAAATAGATATCCCTTGTCTCTGTTCCTATTTCAGTCACTCATCCTTTAACGGTTCTTGCAAAAATTGCAATCTGCATGTTAAAAAAACGAAGTATCTTTTCTCTATTTTGGTGTGCATTGTTAAGATTTATGGGGGTTGTTGTATTGCTTACAAATTGTGTGCTAAGATTTATAAGGATCGCCACATCTCTAACAAAGTGTATGCTAATATTGATAAGGATCGATGTATTGCTAACAAATTGTGTGCTAAAATTGATAAGGATTGCTGAAAAAATGTGTGTTAAGATTTCTGAGCATCACTATTGTGCTAACAAATTACCTACAATGATTTACAAGGATCGCCGTATTGCTAACAAATCTATGATTTGATCTAATACAATTTGCTAGGAATACCAGTCCTCCTACAACATATATCCTATACGGAGTATCGCTATATTGCTAACAAATTGTGTGCTAAAATTGATAAAGATTGCTTTCGCTTTATTGCCAACAAATGGTGTGCAAAGATTGATAAGAATAAGTATATATTGCTTACAAATTGCATGTCTGTTGAGAGTTATAAGGATCGCTGTATTGCTAAAAAATTTTAATATGAAAATCGCTATTTTCCTAACAAGATTGACGAGGACTACTGAATTCCTAACAGTTTATGAGAATCGCTTTATTGCTAACAAACTGCATGCCAAGAATTTGAGGAGCGCTGTATTTGCTTACAAATTTCATGCTAAGGTTTTAATGATCGCACTATTGCTTACATTAAATGCTAAGATTTAGAAACGGGGTTATTTTCCAATATAGAGCATACTTATTTTAATGATTTGAACTGCAAAAAAATCATAAATTCCTTTGTCATGAAGATTGTCGATTCCAGTCAGAATTCCGTATAAAAACGAATACTGCTCCATACTTCCCGATATATAATTATAAAATTCTTTCTTTCTCAGTTCGTTTTGTTTTAATTCATTTCAAACCAGTAAAAAGAATATTTTTTCATTTATATTGAATTAAGGAATTTGCTCAAGTTCAAACAGTCTTGGTTCTATTACACCGAATTTGAAGACGGGTAATTCTAGAGTTGTTTAAATTAGTTAATTTTAGGAACACAATAAAATGTTAAATCAGTGCAAAATCTTCAAGCTGCTGTCTATTTGTCTTTTTAAAAACTTTTTTATACATAGATGCGTGATATTTTTTATGTTATCAAAGAAATATAATAAACGGCAAAGAGATGATAGCTACTAGTATTCTAAATGGATATGCCTTGCTGTATTAATGCAGTAGATTAAAATTGGTACTTAAAGAAATAATATCTATCAGCATTTTGGTTTTTTTAGAAGTAAAGTGACATTATCATACGAACAACTGCATTTTCTTTAAACGATTTGTTTATTAATTTTTCCCACTCTTTCATGTCTTAAAATACAAGTCACTTGATAAAACTTTTACAGAGGGTGAATTTGAAGTCCTGAAAAACAACAAAGTTCTGGGGAAAATGGCGGCCGGCAAAGCTTTTGGAGAATTGGCCATTCTGTACAACTGCACCAGAACGGCCTCCGTGAAAGGTAAACCTGTTCCATATGAAATAAAGCATAAAATATTTACGAAATGGTTAATTATTAAATTAAAAGAACAACAAGGTAATGCTTTGACTCTTGTCAGAAGGTAATTTTCGCTTACTCACACTTAAGGATATCCGATCCTCAGCCAGGAAGGATATTTAAAAAGTCTTAAAATGAAGCTTGAAATTGAGATCTTTTCGTGCAACAATTTTCATTTTATGCATCTTAATTTGATTCAAGGTTCTTTGAAGTCTTAGAAAGGGTCTTGTAAAACGTTGCAATTTGTACCCCATAAACCAAAAAATAAAAAATAAATTCATTTTTAGAGAAATTGAATTTTCTTTAGTAGCATTAGACACCAATGCTTATTAGCATGATATGAAATTAGACATGATCTGTGATGTCTTACAATGATAACACAAGCTTTTTACACTATGTATTATATGGCAAGTGAAGTAAAAAGAAGAACTAAAATACTGTATAAGCATAAAAAAGATGCAATTTTCTCCAAATGCCTGGATACCTATATTTTTCTATCCTAAATTATATTTGTTGATCAATTTTCAATTAGAAAATGCATAGCTGATGTTTTTATTTCCTGAAAATATATTTGAGATTTGATAATTTTCCCTATATAATATGATTAACTATAATGGTGAACTTTGAAGGAATTCCATGGGTAAATTCACGTTACTATGTGAAATCAAAGACATTTTTGTGAGCATTTTCAATTAAAAGCTAATTTCAGAACCTGAGGATCGGACTACCTTAAAGGCATATTTCAAAAACTTAAAAAGTTTTAATTTTGGTAGATGCATTGTATGAATATCGCCAAAATATAGACTATCTATAGACTTTACCATTGGAAGTTATAAGTTTAGAGATCACGAATTGATAGAATAGGTACCCACCAAGTAACTTGATATGTAGTGTATTAAATGGAATATATCGTGGGTTGTTTTAACTATCAGTGTTGGTAGATGCCATTTACTTTGACCTCAATAAGAAATTATGCAATATTATAATACTTCGACTCTCTGGATCATCCAGTCAGCTTTATCACATGACCACAATCTTATCTACTTTGTTTATGACTGGATTCCACCGACATATTATTTTTTTTCCTCCGTATATATTCCTTATTGATTGTCATTTCACAAACGTAAGAATATCTGTATAATTTACGTTGTCATGGACGTAGTTCTTTTTTTCATTTAAGTCATTTTTTTTCCTTTTGCGTCAGCACACCAATTAGTTTGTGGACACAGATGTATTTAATTATGTTTTTCCTTTTTAATGAAGACCTCATTTCAAACACTGATATGAAAATGTATACCTTTGATATTATCCATTATTACCTGTATTTCCATCGTTGTATCTTGTTAGTCAATATTTTGAATGCCCATATTTGCTTTTCTTACGACCATCAGACAACCTTCTATTTTGAATACCGCTATTTACTTACAACCATCAGACAACACTCTACCCCCCCCCCCACCCCCCCCACCCCCATTTTCACTACCTGTCAAACACCTTTTCATGTTTACCTCTAATTAACATACAGTTCCTTTCCAAATACACTTAATTGTTACTTTACTTCTCGTTCATTATGCAGCATTCCTATTTTTCCTGAAAATTGATTTTCTGTCCTGATACAATTGATTAGCCATAGGGGGTACAAAAATGATATCATTAAATATCATTAAATCACACCTGGTATCTAGATCGAAGATTTATTTCGCAGGTTAGATCCATGTGTTCACTTTGAAGCAGGTTGACTATTTGTCTGATCACGTTTCCGCAAATTGTTCTATTACCTTTCCGCAAAAATTAAGTTTATAGGGTCTTTGTCACTCTACACCACAGGTAAATTGTGGAAACATAGTGCTTAGGTACAATAATAGCCATATATCATTTTCTATAAACGTAACTAAACTTTTTGCGGAAACATAAAAATTAATTTTTTAAAAAATTTGCGCAAATGCAATTCGCCCTGTATGATTTGTTAGTGGCATGCCATATACAAGTTTATATCACATGCAGAAGAAACTTCAAGCCAAATAATGAGACCTGATGTATCTGGACATTATATTTCTATAGCATTGTAGTCCCTTTATCCCCATGTACTGTAGACAACAAAGATGAGTGTGTAAATCGAGAAATTGATTTTAAAGACGAATGATGAAAAATGATATTTGACTGTGTGTTTTAGCTTTCCTATGATTCAGTGTGTTATTCTGTTATATTGACCTATACTGAGGCCATCATATGATTAATACAAACATGTATGTGTGAAATGTTTGAACTTGTGCTGTAAACCTTCGTATACGTTGTATTCTAGCCTAAATAAACCTGTAAAATGTTTAAATTGTATTTTATCTTTTAATTGTTACATTTACACTCGTTAGGTGGTTACTAGGTAGAGTTGTCATAATTTGATATACCTATATTTGACGTATATTACAGCCCTAACCGATGTCTGTGTCTGGGTGCTGGACCGCCGTGTCTTCCAGACAATTATGATGAAGACGGGTCTACAAAGACAGGAGGAAAACATACGATTTCTTAGAAGGTTCATTAAACATAATTCAAATGAAGTTTCACACATACTGTAATTTTACAAATTTCATTAAAAAAATCTACCGATGTGTGGCAAAAGGCAATGAAAAGAAACAACAATTATCGTTTTGAAGATTAACAAATTATGTAACGTATCTAATGAAAAATGTAAGTTCATGGAAAGAAACTTTTAAGCCTGGATTATTCAGTGTGGTTATTATACAAATCATGTATTCATTTCCATGTTTTCTACATCTCCATCGGCAATATTCCCAGCTAGGGACTCCGCTGAAGGATTAAGTAGCCACTCAACAATGAGCTGTCATATCGTCCAAGTGGTCACTTCAGTCCTGTAATTAGGACGGTGTCCATGTCGGATTAATATTGGATGTGACTTAGGGAAAAAATAGTCTATGATAGTATAGGGTTTAGTGATAAAAGAATTTTGTAATTATTGCTACGTCTAATTATCTTCCGGAATCTTGCACGCCCACTGGATTCTTAATTCAAACAATGCTATTGTAGATTTTTCCCTCCTCGTGAGAATGCGTAATTTCCTACAGTGTTAGAAGGATTGTAAGAAGATATACACTGTATATAATTAATACGAGTCGATAAGAATTGATAAAAGTACTGAATTTGGTTAAATGTAATTACATGTACATAGGACATAATTCATGCAAGTTATGTAATTTTATTGAATGTACATGTTTTCCAATTCCAGTGTACCACTATTAAAGAACTTACCAACGGAAAAACTTGCAAGAATAGCTGATTGTCTTGAAGTGGTAAGCTAAATTGTCTCACTGTTATAAGAGAGATCGATAGCCTCGAATGCCTTTGATCTGGTACGATAGTAAAGAAATGTTGAAGTGGTAATATATTGCATCTTTATTTGTTAAGACAAAAGAAAGTTTAAATGGTAACATGAAATATCTAAATGCTAACATGAAAGATCCAAATGGTAACATAAAATATCTAAACGGTAACATGAAAAATCTAAATGGTAACATGAAATATCTAAATGCTAACATGAAAGATCCAAATGGTAACATGAAATATCTAAATGGTAACATGAAATATCTAAATGCTAACATGAAAGATCCAAATGGTAACATGAAATATCTAAATGGTAACATGAAATATCCGTAAATTGTAAGATAAAATGTCCCGTAGTGGTAAATAATTAATATGAAGTGGTCGGAGAAGTCCAATATTAAAGTTATAAAGATACGTTGAAGTATCGTTAAGACATCATGACATGCAGTGTTATGAAGCAAATTCAGTAATGCAGGGACATGTTTGGATCACAAGTCCATCTATATCCCTCGTAAAAACAACGTGAATGCCAATAAAAGACGGTAATTACAAAACTTTTCATAAGGAAAAAAAATATCTTGTATATCAAGAAGCGCCTTTGTTGTTTTTATTGGTTGAGATGTCAACAAAGCCTCAGTTGATGAAGCAATAGCTATAAACCGCCTGTGACTAAATTTTTTTTCTTAATAATCGACTTTGAAAATAAGGATGTCAGTGATGAAAATCAAGTATTTAGTTAAATGAATTCTTGTTTAATTCTGAGTATATTATGTTTTATAATTTGTTAAATAATTAACTGCTTTTAAAAGTGCTCGAACTCTGTGAAAGGAAAGATACGCGGTGTAGGGCATATCTCTTTCAGTCTTAAAATTTTTTTTAAGTTCCGAAGCAAAAAGGAAATTTTCTTGGTAGATGCTTAAAGGTTTCAAACCCCTCAAATGATCATCGAATTTGTCTACATTAATTAACATCATGTTGTCTCTCTTAATACATTTAGTGACAATATTATCCAAATAATGGAAGTATACTAATATCCATTTATATTTTACAGGACTTTTTCCCAGAAAATGATTACATCATTCGAGAAGGAGAAACGGGGGATTCATTCTTTATCATTAACAAGGGCGAGGTAGTATTTTTATGAAGACATGTTGTACAAGATTGTACATTGGATGTCACAAGTTAGGTCTTAATTGATGTCAGAGTTTTACAAACGGAACTTATATTTTTTTAAACCATTTACAGTGGGGTTTTTTCCGAATATCGAAAGAAGTAAATAGTATATTGAATTATAAAATGCAACGTATATAAATGATGGCTTAAATGAGCTGAAGAACACAAACAGCGGTGTTCATTTTTTTTTAATGAGTACAGTAAAAAAAAATAAAATAAAATTGTCAAACTGGACCCCATGGAACATAATATTCAAAGAGATATTTGTGAGCAGTTTTTGAAGAAAGGGGATGGGGTGGGGGAATATCCTAGATAAGATTTCTTTTATTTTCGCCTTACTCCTACAGGTCAAGGTCACTCAAAAAGTCACTGGAGTGGAAACTCCCATGGAAATCAGAAGACTGACAAGGGGAGACTACTTTGGCGAGAAATCACTCCTTAGGTAATTTATGTTTAAAGAAAAAAACTTTTAAAAAATTCTTCTCCCATTTTATGTTTTCTTCCTCCGTAATAAAATATAGTTTATCAGAGTTTATTTCTAATATTTTTATTACATTCCATTTTATTTCAGTTATCAAAATAAGTGTTGCTTTAAAATGGGGGAAACGAGAAACCAAAATTATGGACAATGTTTATACCTCATATTTTTAATGAAATGGGTGCTATAAAACGATGCCCATTTGATTATCTTGATATCATTAATTTATCTACTCAATCTCCTTTAATGGGTAATTGACACTAACTTACAACTATTTATCCATATATGTTTACGGAATCTAGGAAACGTATTTAGCATGTACATATAATACCCAAAGATCAATGTCTTTAGTAGCAATCGAGAAAGCAATTAATAAATCTCGTGTATACAACTTAATGACAAATGGAGGTCCATTGACCAGTATTGATCTGTTCTCTGAGTATGGTCACTGAGTATTTATATCCCATTGTCCGGAAAACTGAGGACAGTCTAGCAGAACTGCCATTAATTCCTTCTCATTAACCCTATGTCACCAAATTATCGAGCAAAAATCGGGGGAAATTATTGTTGTAAAACTAAAATAAGCATTCTGTGGTGACAAAATTATCTGATAATCTTCCATACTATTTGTCTAGAATTTGCAAAGACACAACATTCTATGCGACAAACACATTGTAATTAAGGACAGATAATACAAACAAATTTTTATCAAAAATCTTGAAAATAGCAAGGCAAGTCATGTTTATATAAATAAATTGAATAAGTTTAACCGCATAGATTTTCATTTTTCTTTTAAAATTTCCCAGTAATTGGATTTAAACTAACAAAAATTTGTATAGATTAATAAGGATGGTTGCAGAAAGGTGGAATTTTGAACATCGTAGAAAGTTTACAATTTCTTAATATTTTAGAAATTCATTATTCTAATCATTTACAACCAATATAGGTTAAAAAAATATATACCAATCCAGGCATCCATTTTTTTGTTTGTCTCATCTGTCCTTAAAACCCCCATAAAGAAACAAGAGTAACTCAAGCCTTAACCATTGTCTGTGCATTTGGCGGGAAAACTTATGACCAGTTACATGTAGGTTGATTGCACGTGATCATAACGACGTCCAAATGTATATAACGCAGACATTTCTACATTGTAAAGGTACAATGGTGATGGTGTTATTCCAAGCCATAATCATCCTCAATGCACCATATGTATACAAATATAGGAAAGGCAGATATAAGTCCAAACTAAATGAAGTTAATTTCCGCTTCTGGAAATCATATAACTCCCAGACACACGAACTCGGATCAATTAACGAAAAAGTTGATCGGTTCATTTCGAAAAGTAAAAAGGAGAGGAAGATAATTTGAATGAGACTATAATGTGCTTTGAACATAGTTTGAATCAACATTACTTTTAGAACTAATAAATTACACTTTATCCTTAGTTGTAAAGGTTGTTATGGTTTTTTTCTTCATTTGTACATTATGAACCATCTACCTGCTATAAATACTACTCTTAACACTATTGTTCATTCTAAACACTTGTAACCTTGACCCTCTTGGGGATGATTTATATATTGGCACGATGCCTGATGTCCAAACCAATTACTTACATGTAGTATGTAAAAAGTCTTTACTTAATCTTTATATAATAAAATATTGATTAAATTAAATTGAACATTACAAGCCAATAAATATAGCCTATCATTAAATGGACGTGTAGCTTAAAGTTTAAAATTAATACCAAAAATCTTGGAATATTCATTCTTATGGTAATTTGTAATCAGTTATACATGTAATGTGCCTACTGCTATGGTATAGTCACTGAATATTTACTTCATAGTGTCTGCTATTTTAATTTGATGTACTGTGCCTACTACTATGGTATAGTCACTGAATATTTACTTTATCATGTCTATTATGGTAATTTGTAATCAGTTATACATGTACTGTGCCTACTACTATGGTATAGTCACTGAATATTTACTTTATCATGTCTATTATGGTAATTTGTAATCAGTTATACATGTACTGTGCCTGCTACTATGGTATAGTCACTGAATATTTTATAGTGTCTATCCTATTGACAAGCTGTACAAGTTAATTCATATAGCCAGTAAATTATAACCTTTTTTGTTCAGTGAAGACAGAAGAACTGCTAACGTGATTGCATTACCACCAGGAGTCGAATGTCTGACTGTAGACAGAGAGTGAGTAGATTCTGTTCTTTCTGATTCTATTAGAAAAGTCTAAATTCTGCTTTGTTATTATCGTCCTCTCCAATGTGGACTTCCAGATGCTCTATCGATTTCCAAGAAATGATTTTAGGATTCCTACGGGAAAAAATATCATTGGATGACATTGCAACTTTAAATTCAGATACATGTACCTGACACTTTCACAAGTTTTCTCTCAAAACAACATTTTTGAATTACACTTTCATTTATAGCTGATACCTGAATTTTTATCATTGAACTGAACAGTAGTGAGAAAAGGAAAAAAAAAAAAAACAAATCTATGGTACTACATGTATATTTAAAATGATAGCTTCTTCCGTATATTATATTGATCTCTAACTTTGTTGCTGTAAACAGGAAAACCATATTTTTTTTATATATATTGGAATTGATATAATTAGGTATACCATTTCACGGGGCCCAGAGTTCTCAGACAAGATCTATTTTTTTTTTATTAATTGTACCTTTATCATCTCCATTTAGTGTTGGATGTTAGTAAGGATAGAATTAATTGTTGCACATTTTTCAGCCATTTCAACGCTCTTATTGGTGATCTGAACGAACTACGCGAAAAAGACTATGGCGACGAAGCACGGGGAGCCCAAAGGTATCAAATATAAAAAAAAAAATCATTAGGGTTATTTGATATAAGCGGGGTCTTTATGACCTATATGGAAATATTCGATAATGTAAACAAATAATGAGATAATAAGCAGCAAGTGTTTTAATTATGATTTAGACATATAAGCTAAGTCTCAGCATGCAGCTGTATCATAATATCTTTAACGTGAGTAGATTTGAAGTATATAATCTTTTGTACGAATATTACGTGAATCTTCTTTTTTATATTAAATTTTGACGAAAAAGTTCAAATTAGTGGGGATATAGTAAAAGTTAAAATTAGTGGTGATGTAGTAGAAAAATCAGATCGACCTTAATTTTTTTGGAAAAACAAGTGTTATTGACCATTCTTCTACAGAACAAGCGGTGGTAACGGTTCTGATGTTCTGTTGTCCCCAGTGCGGGACAAGCCGGACAAAGAATTCCAAAATATACAGCTCAAGGACCTCGAAGTCATTGCAACTCTTGGCATGGGAGGTTTTGGCCGTGTAGAACTTGTGAGTCGAAAAAAAACTTATGGTGAACAATCATAAGAATTTTGATGAATTCTGCAGTTAAAACTAGAAAAATTATTAATTGAAATTTAACATTGCCTTTAGTATTATCAATATTCGAAACTTTATATGATTCTGTGTGATATCACACAGAAATATTTTAAGAGCACTAATAATTGCTAAATTATATATTTTTTTAGACTCAGCTATCACATTCTCGATCAAAGACATTTGCATTAAAGTGCCTTAAGAAGAAACATATAGTAGACACCCAACAGCAAGAACATATTTACTCCGAGAAGAAAATAATGATGGAATCTAGATCTCAATTTATAGCAAGGTATACTTAAAAGCATTTCAAGAGCTAAGGTTCCCAAGGAGATAATTTAATTCCAGCTTAATATTATTTGATTTCTGCATAATGTTTATGAAAAAATGAAGAAATTCACAAAGAAAATCAATCTGATAGAACTTATTCAGCTATGCTATGTAAACTTAGAGGTACTGTAAACCAATTATTATTCGCGACATCTCTTATTCGCGATTCTTCAGTTTGGAATCCATCCGCAACTACTTATTTTCGCGACCGAGGCAATATTCTTCATATATACTAGGTGAATAATTGATACGCGACGAGAAATATTCGCGAGTAAGAGAAGGTCGCGAAACTCGCGGATATTTCTCGCTTGCGAATAAAAGTAGATTTACAGTATCCTCTAGTATTAAAGAACAATCAATTACTCAGTAATTATAATTTGCTGGCAAAATTAAATTATTTGTCCTTGGGTCTCGCTGCAAATTTAAGCTCTTCTGTCTATGGAGGAAGCAAGAGTAGATTGTTACTTTATATCGTAGCAACAAGTGATTCATATCAAACAGGAATGGCAAAATTTGTTTGTAGTATCTGTCAGTAAAAACACTGATCGCACACCGTTATTGTGAACATCACCCTGAATTCGATTATAAATTGGACATTTTCGCTCACAAGTGTGCGGTGTTCAGGAGAGATAATTCACTGCCTAAATGACATGTAATAATCTTCCATTCCTGTTTCATTCCTCCAATATCGCGGTTGATGAGTTAGGAAATATAACATGAAAACCTGAAGAGTTCTTCACGTTTCTAAATCGGACTTGCTGAGTGTTATTGATGGAACTATATTAAGTATAGTGCATGGCGATCATTTGTAATCTGTTCATAAGATAAAGAGCTATGGTATTAAAATACGTCCCTAGTTTCTTTAAATGTAATAAAAAACACTAAATTTGTTCTGATTGTATTTATTGATCTTATATGTATAATAAAATGGAAATCAGTATAAGATTTTTAGCTCACCTCGACGAAGTCGAGATGCGCTTATGCTATACCCTCGGCGTTGACGTCTCTATTATAGTTTAAGGAGCAGGTCTCATTTCCAAGTAATTATTTGCTCTACCTTGAACAAACTTGCATGGATCATGCATCAGGGGATGTACACTACCTGACTTGCTTTGGATGAAGTATTTGACATACATTTCCTGGACAAAAGATCAGGTTCAAGTTTTTGGAGCAGGTTGAAGTTTTTAGAGCAAGTAAAATTTTTAGGAGTAGGTTTTATTCCGTACTACTAGTAACTATAACTAAACGCTATGGTAACTAAACTTGCATGGATGATGCATCTAGAAATGCACATTACCAGCCTGTCTTCGGATGTTGGATCTGACCTTCATTTTCCAGATGAGTAAATGGAGGATGTTCATTCCAAAGTACTAGTAACTGTAAGCTCTACCTGAACAAAACTTCCATGGATGATGCATCCAGAGATGCACGCTTCAAAACTGGTTTTGGATACTGGATTTGACCTACATTTTCTAGATGAGTGATCAGGTTTAAGTTTTTGGAGCTGGATTATCCCAAGGTATCTATAAGCCCTATTGTGACCAAACTTGCATTGATGATGCATCTAGAGATGCATGCTACTAAACAGACTTCGGATTTCGGGTCTGACTACATTTTTGGATGAGTGAACAGGTTAAAGTTTTTCAAGCAGGTTCAATCCCAAGTGTCTATAATCTCTATCTGGATGATATTATCAGGGATGATGCAACTAGGGATGAACACTACCACACTTGTTTCGGATGCTTGATCTCATCTACATTTTCAGGATAAGTGAACATGTAAAAGTTTTGGAGCAGTTTCGTTAGCAAGTAACTGCTAGCCCAACCGAGACCAAACTTGCGTGGATGATGCATCTAAGGATGCACACTACCAAACATGCTTCGGATGCTTGATCTGGCCTACATTTATTGAAATGGGTTTATTTCTAAGTATATATAAGCACTATATGGTGACCAAACTTGCGTTGATGATGCATCTAGGGATGCAAACACAGACTTGCGCTGGATGTTGGATCTGACATTTTTCAGGTGAATGAACAGGTTAAAATTTTAGAGCTGGTCCATTTCTAAACTGTCAGCCCTATGGTGACTGATTTTGAATTGATGATGCATTTTAGTAGGAATGCACACTTCCAGTTTTGGATGTTGCCTCTTACCTACGTTTAGGGTGATTGAACAGTCAAAGTTTCCGGAGCATGTCTATTTTTAAGTAGATTCTACCCGAATCAAACTTGTATAGATGTTGTATTCATGGATGTACACTACCAGAACTGAGGCTTTGCCTTATTTATAGAAACATTGGTCGACGCGAGTTATGTAATCTTTGATTACCTATGTTCTGAAATATTAAAAGATTGTTAATTTAGACAATGAAGAAATTTTATCAGATATGAATAGCATGCTAAAATAATAGGGTAATACTTTAGAGAATCTTCCCGGAAATTTTCTGGGGAGGGATCTGTTTGTACTCTTTCGTGTTTTTCTAAAAATATTCTCATTACGTTTTAGAAACTCTTTACTTTCAGATTATACAAAACATTTAAAGATAAAAAATACGTTTATATGCTGATGGAGGCGTGTTTGGGTGGCGAATTGTGGACTATTCTCAGGGACAGGGGAAGTTTTGATGACATCACTGCGCGGTTTTGTGTGGCATGTGTTCTAGAAGCATTTAAGTATCTCCATGACAGAGGAATTATTTACAGGGATTTAAAACCAGAAAATCTACTTCTGGATCAGCACGGATATGTTAAACTTGTAAGTAAAAGTCTTTGTTTTAGGGTTTTTTCGCTTAAAATATCTTTTAAAAAATACAACTTTCATTCACGGTTTTACTGATAACAATAGTTTTTGTGTGCTTTAGAAGAAAACTGTAAAACAAGTCAAGTATGCATTTGCAAAAGCATAAATTCTTTCCAAGGTCGACTTTGGCTTTGCCAAGAAGATCGGACATGGCAGGAAGACATGGACATTCTGTGGGACCCCTGAGTACGTGGCCCCAGAGATAATCCTAAACAAAGGCCACGACAGAGCGGCGGATTACTGGTCACTAGGAATCCTCATGTTCGAGCTGTTAACGGGCAGGTAGGAGAATTACTGCATGAAGGGATAAACGTTCGGTAATCACATTGACTTCACATCACGATCATCTTCAACTGTTTTACACATTAAAGAATAAGAAAGATGTGTAATGGTATTCTTAACAATGAGGAAAGGTCAAGCACAATTTGGATGACCAGCGACATTACAATGTTGAAAGGAAGTGCATCGCTTACAGTGCCTTGCTTTTACCATTTTTTTTTTTTGATCGAAAGTGAAATTGGAACTACAAGCATTTAATATTTCATTAGCTTAAGTACACTCTAAGGATTCAAAAATAAGTTTGGGTTAAGTAAGAGAATACATTTTTAGACTCTCGTAGTGATGTGAAATATTTGATCATTACACAGTATCCTGGGTCTTTTCAATCCGCTTGACTGGCCTGCTAGCACCATTAGGAATGAAATACATGTACGAACGAACACTTCTGTTTGATTAATATCATGCGTTGGTTTAATGCCACCCTTTTGCTTTTAATCAATATGTACAATTAATGGTTGCCTTTTATAGTTGAATTCCATACTCCGACAATTCTGATCGACTGGCTTAATTTTCACGAACTGTATGAAACATGAGCAGCATATATACAACGTGAAGGGACTTTATTTCTTCCTTGTTCTCTTTCATCAATTTAATTAATGCATTTAGTTGGACATGAATCTGACGCTGGAAATAAAATACGTTTAGTTGTCAATTTCCTTCCGGAAAGGGTTAAAGAATAAACGCGATGAAATGATTTACATCAAACCAACATGCTTTTAGTAGAAGTGTATTGAAACTCGACAATTACACTTTCCTTTCTAGAACAGATATTTTCACTTTGAAATGAAGACATTAACATCTCCTGTTGCGTAAGCGTGTATGTGATTTTGTCTTGAATTTTCAGTAGAGTACATCAGAAAAAATGTCTTTGCGTGCTTTAAAATAATTTTTATTCTATTTTCGGTTGAAATCGAAATTACTTCGACGTACATGCATTGCTGTTATTAATTACTGCGCTAGGAATTATTTTTCATTTGGAAAACCACACGTAATCATCTCTTTTGCAGTTTGTTTTTTCTTTGGAATTTATAATTAGCCAAGTAATGTATATTCCCTAACTTGTTTGTTTCCAATCTTTGGTAATAATGCTGCAGGTGACTTTTTCCCACCTGAAAAATTACAGATTCAAACAATAATATATTGTATTTGCACTTTTTGAAAACAGATTTTGAATTTTCGATGCCTTGTGAGAATTGTCAAAGAAAATTATGATATTTAATACATGTATTTTTACATTTTCCAAATTTGAACTTTTTTGTCGAACAGAAGTCATTATTACAACAAATGATGCACAATATACCGATAATTTCTCTTTTACTTAATATTTAATTATTAAATTTGTAGGGGCCAATGCAGGGATTTTTCAATATAACAACATTGTTTTCAATGCGGGGAACTCGTGCTGAATATCATGTTTCTTGGATTAATAAATTCTTACAATGACCTGAACAAAAGTCAGAGATTAAACAATTACTATACAGACATCCGTCTTATATACGACATACTTTTAAAACATGTTTTTGTACGAAAAATCAAAGCTTCTTTCACCAGAGTAATTGTCATTTCAGTGCTGATGAAGTCAAATTGAAGCAATTGTGTTACGTCTGCATGTAGTCGTATACTAGTAATACAGATCTAGGTATATGCCTTTTTAAGGAATTATGTTGCAGTCAGAATTGAACACCGATGCTTTCTTCAAGTAAAATTCTTTATATGCAAAGAACTAGCTAAACTATTAACAGCATTTCTATCGTATATACATGTACTATTATTGCAAAACTTTTCCAAAATTTTGAAGAGAATGTTGGTGATATTTCAGTCCGCCTTTTTCTGGGTCTGATCCAATGAAAACATACAACATCATCTTGAAGGGCATAGATGTGATAGAATTCCCGCGACGGATCGGAAAGAACGCGGCCTCCCTCATCAAGAAGCTGTGCAGAGACAATCCGGCAGAAAGGCTAGGTTACGGAAAAAACGGAATAGTTGACATAAGAAAAAATAAGTAAGTGGTCAAGATAATTAGGATAAATTAGTTAAGATTTCTGATGTGTTTTCTTTGGTAGATATTGGACTGGATTTTGACATTCTAGAAATAATTCAAAAATTTGAAAATTTTACTAACATAGATATAAAACGGTACCATGACATCAATGAGCTGTTGACAAGGTTTGTTTCTTATTCAGGTGGTTTCAAGGTTTTGACTGGGATGGCATGCTTCAGAGAAAACTCATTCCTCCAATCATTCCACAGGTAAGATCTACCTATTTAAGAAAAAAATATATAAGTATTTTTAATTCATCTGTACATTTTTGTAATGATCAATTTCAGAAATAGGGTCAACGCTATGATTTCCTTGCTGACTTTAAAAGAAAATGATTCATATATGCATTCTCAAAAAATTATAACCTTTTTTGAAAAGATGCTACAGATTTATAAAACATAAGATATACATGTTATTATTGATTGTGGCCAATAAACCGTATCCTCCAAAACAGAGAATTGTTCAAAAGTGTTCTTTAAAAGGAATATGGTCTAATTTTAGGTTAAAGGACCAGGGGACTATAGCAACTTTGACAGCTATCCAAAAAGCACAGAGGTCCCTCCCGATGAAACATCTGGATGGGATTTTGATTTCTGATATTGCTTTGAGTGAACACCAAACGCACACTTGTAAGTTAAACTGTAAGGATCTTGCTAATGCAATTTTGAAAATTTTGTTTCCTAATTGTCGGAATTTTGTTGCAATTTTTCCTCTTTTTTTAACATAATTGGTTTAAAGCTCCAATGGTCAAGGACTAGAAAAGCTTATGCAATAGTAAAATATCTCTCCTTTCTGTAAACAATTTTTCAACACTTCTTGGGCAGATTTGATTCGATTTGAATAAAACTCTGTACACTGGTAGCCTAGACTTAGATACATTATTCTGTCATCGGTTTCTGATTTTGATGAACCGTGTTGCCATGGTAACTTAAATTAGATATTTCCGTTAAATTCTTTCATAAATCTATTCTTCTATAGTTTTAGTCCGATTTCAATTAACCTTTAGCTTACAAATATTCAAAATTACTTTGGAAATCTAAGTTTCTCCGTTTTTTTTTTTTACTTAAAGAATTAAAATGGTGAACTACTGACTTCATGTTATTCTCAAATGTCATATTATGAAACTTACGATTACCAAAATATGGAGCAATGAATTTCCATTATATCTTAAGTTTGATGTGTAAACAAATTATCAAATCATTTCATTGTCTTCATGTTGACAGGTGTTCGGAGGTGTTTGTCCTCGAACAAGGATATCTATGAGAAGAAATGAACAGTGCTCAGCGTCAAAGAATAGAAAATTCCAATGTGCAACTGTTTTCTATGACAATGTGTTTTGTCCGTTGTGTCGTGTTATATTATGGGATTTACCTGGTGCTATATTTGCTGACGTCATTCGAAATTGTGCTAAAATTTGATGACATCATCGAGGATGGAATGATATATTGTGTTATGAATATCAATTTTTCTGTGATATTACCGTCTTGGATATTGATTGTTTCTGTCATTTGAGTGACATTAAACAACACGGATCGCTATTATCATTATATGAAAAATACTCCCAATGATATAGTTCAGTTATAGTAAAACGGAGGGGAAAATCGGATTATTATACCCAATCCAGAGTCTTTTAAAACACGTAAAATAATTATCGAATTTATTTTTTATGATCTAGGTTTGGTTGGGTAGAGCTTTTTATGTGTATGTATAGTTATTTCACTGGTCAGCTGCTTGTCTTGATGACTTTGACCGGGAGAGACCTGCTCAAGGTATTTCTAGTGAAATCAAAGATATGTTTTGTTGATATGTGGACCCTGTTGCATTTGTCTTCCATTTTATATAGAGTTTATAGAACAACAGTAGCGTCTAATTGCCGCATTGTCTCATATGCGGCCTCGTTGTATTTCTCGTTTTCTTATTGTAATGTTGCTCGATTGTATATTCGGAGTATTTTATAAATAAAGAATAAAAAGGTGAACAGTGCAAGATATGATTTCAATTCTTGTCTTACAAACACGTGAGTGATGAACGTTGAATTAAAATATCTTTTTATGAGGGTTCTTACTTAACCCTGTACCTGGCAGATAACATATTGGAATCAGTTAATTCTGTATATGTCAAAAACTTTAGTTCACCCTGACAACCTATTTTTCTCTGTTCTAATCCGTCGTCATCTTCTTGTCAGGTTTAAGACTAATTCAAATATTCTATATTTGCGTAGAAGATCTTTATATTTAAACGTTAGGAATTCAAACAATCATATTTTTTTTCTTACAGGTAAATTATTTCCATTCTTATGTCGATACGATATATCCCGGTGAGCTTGAGATAAAATATACCTCAGAGTCTGACACATCTGTTTCATATTGGGATATTTTACTTGAAAAAGACGTTAATGGTAATCTAACAACCAAGCTTAATGATAATGGTGATGACTTAACATTTCAATCGTCAACTTCCCTTATTTATGCAGCAATATACCTTCATCACCTGCGTACGCGGTTTATATCTCTCAGTTGATTCGATACGCAAGAGCATGCTCGACGTATGTACAATTTCTAAAACGAGGTAAATTTTTGACAATCAAGTTAATGAAACAAGAATATCAGCAGTTCCGTTTAAAGTCATCATTTCGTAAGTTCTATGGTCGATACAATGACCTTGTCAGCAAATACAATTTATCATTGAGTCAAATGCTGACTGAAGTTTTTCATACTAATTGTTAGGCCATTTTTACACACTGAATTGTCGACGAATTTTTCCGTTATTTCCCGATCATGACAAGGAGCACACGGCGGGTGTGACCGGTCGGCAGGGGATGCTCACTCCTCCATGGCACATGATCCCACCTCTGATGTTTTGGAGGTCCGTGTTTGCTCTGCTACTATTTTGTAATGTTTTATGGACTTTTGAGCTTGAATACTGTTCGTTATCTCCATATATTTCATTTCATGTGATTGGCAACAGTACTTTTTTAAAAATTCTTTTAATAGCAAGGAAAAAAGAAAATGACCTTGACCTGGCCTAAAGTAAGACGGTCATATTTAATTTAACTGATACCACCACTTGATGATACTGTCTATTTGAAACTAAAAATTTCATTAATTTTTGAATACAAAAAGTATGAGAAGAATCCATCCTTAATATTTTCTCTGGTAAAATGAAACTTGATATCTTGCAGGCAAAAATAAAATTTAAAAGCATTTCATATTTAAAATTTTCTTTTACAATTTTTAAAACGGTCCTATTCCTTTACATATAAGAAGAAAGCCGAGACCATGACTATATGGATGATACAACCCATCAGTAAATTTTATCTCGATCATCTGGATCTGGTATAAAGTCCAAGCGTCTCTTTATGAGTGAAATATTCTCGAATGGTACATGTACGTAAAACAATATATAATCAATCAATCGATCATAACAGTCCAGTTTCTCCGCCTTTTATCATAAGGGTAAATTTAAAAAAAAAGACCAAACTCGTATTTATCAACCTGCACAAAAAATACAGGCAATGGGAATAAATTTCTATGCCTCAGCATATGTCTTTAGATAGTGTCTAAATACATGCCAAATATCTCATTGATATCTCAATTCACAAAAAAAGTTATGCCCAAAAATGATGCTAAAAATGTCAGGAATGCAACACCTTTTTGTGACATTTTGAAAATTCAATATTTTTTGAAGATCTGTGAAATAAATAATAATGGTTTTTGTTGGAAATAAACACTTTCCTGATGATATTCAAAATATTGAGCTTTAAATGTAGACTTTGGCAATTTTTGTTTGACCAAGTTGTGGTCATGGCTGATGTTCAAAAATGTTATACCATGCAGGAGTGCAGAAAAAAATGTAGTGTTGCCAAAAAAAAACCCCATCCATTTTAAAAATCTGAAAGACAAATAAGTCAATAAAGAATTTTCAAGGTGTAAAACAATAACTAGTATACAATTTAAAACTTTAAAATGTTACATAAATCACAAGCAGCATTAAAGAGAGTCAAGAATCTGTGCATACGCAATTATGCCAGGAGTACATTTGATGTTTTGCACCCCAGCATGAAGAAACTTTTATCAGTATATGATTCTCTGGGTTTTATTTTGGAGAATAAGGACACAAAAAATATTTTTACCAAGTAGATTTATCAATTACAGGGTCTGTCTGTGTTTCAGATCTATATTTCTATGATCAGGAGTGCAACACATTTTTTAAAAGATTCATGTTATACGATGAACAGACTTCTTTTCACGATAAGGAATATTCTTTAATCAATGATGATATATTTGAATAATTTAGTTCTAAATTATCGACAGTTTAATAATTAAAATCCTTCTCTTTTTAAATTTTATCAATTCATAAATGTTTTTATCTTTTATTTGATTTTTTTAATGAATGTAAAAAATAAACATACTGAAAAATGGCTATAAATTCAATAATTCCACCTCAACCATACTGAAGCAACAGAACAAACTCTGATATAAATTTCGCTTCACAATTGTACTTTAAAGACTCCCATGCTCTTGGTCAGGAGTGTGAAAATATGATAGAATTATTGCTGATCAAATATGAATAAATATAAAGAAACAATTGATGAGTAGAATAGTTCAGATTGACCTCAATTGCTTACAGTGTTTGTCCTGTGAAGGGTTTGTCCTGTGAAGGAAAATACACTATAAAATACATTTTATCTTCTAAATATATTTTTAGCTAGTTTTTTTTATTTTCATAAATAGGGAATAAGTCGACATATAAAGCCAAGTTTAAATACTTTCATATTTTGGTTATGAATTATTGGACTATATGTATTGCACAATTTTGTTACCACTTGATGTTGCCAACACTTTATGAGTTTTTGTGTTCAGTGGTTTTAATTTTTAACGTTACTGCAGTCAGGAGTGCAGAAAAACCTGTCTTACAATTATCAATGATCTTTATCTATCTTTATTAAAAATAAATTGAAAAAAAAATGTTTGATACTATTTGATGTTTAAAACATTATGTCTCTCAACTTATTACAGATATTTTACAGTCAATTCAGAGAATAGTTTTCATCACTTAACACATATTTTTTTAAAAACACAATGAATGTATAATTACACATTGCAAATAATCATGTTTTGAAGTCTTGAAAATATGAAAAACTTGCCGTTAATGATAAAAATATCAAAACGATGAACTGATTTACAAACTAAGAATGGGTTATTGTGTGTTATAATTTTAAATAAAATACATATCAGATGTCAGTAGTGCAACACAATCATCTAAAATAGGGTCAATTCAAAATCTGATACTTTTTGTTAGAAAACTTGCATATCAAAATTTAAAGAATTTATTTAAATGGACAAAAAAGAGATTTTGGGGGAATTTTATTGTTTCGTATTTCTTTAATTTTAAAACTTTTCAAACCAGCATTGGAAAAAATAATGTAAAATAACAGTCGAAAAGCCAAATTTTTTCCACATATACAAAAGAAGAACCCCAATCAAGGTTTAGACCTTATCATTTATATCCCTCGTACATGTATCATTTTGAAGCATAAAAACTATAATCTCTTTTGATTATGTATTTTAGAAAGTCTGAGGATGTAGTAATATTTTCTTTTTTTTCAAATAAAGTTTTGCTAATAAAAATTCTGAAACTTGTTCTCTATTGTCTATTCTATTGCATCATCTAGAATGCATGTAGAATATGATGATAGAAGTGAAAAATATGTTATGGGTAGTTGAATTTTTTCAAAAGATTTCACTTTGGTGGTCATTATTGTTTTAATTTATCCATGGCAGGGTTACCAATTTTTGTTACGATACTAGCTAGGATCAGCCAGTTGATACGATTTTATTTATCATATATTTCTCATGGACCTTTACGTCTGTGAAGACTGGGGAATTAACTTGGTAGATAGCTACTAACTTTTTCTATTGTAACGCTAAATTGGCAAAGAGAAACAATTCCGATTAAAGTTGAATAATGTTTACTGTAGAGTCTGCAGATAGGTGAATTTGCTAAAGTCACAATCTATCCGGACTCTAGCTCGGAATTGAACTCTTGACTAATCAGGATACTTGTTACAAAAATTTATTTAAGACAAGACGGCAATTTCTTTTGATAGATTTAACACTGATTTCTTACATTAAAGAAGAACCGAAAGGTGAAGAAGTCAGTTAACTTTAAATTCTCTCAATTCTTAACTTCAATGTAACATATAGGCCAAAGTAATAGGCATATATATGACTGATTTTTTCCAATTTGAAAAATAAATGTTCGTTTACTCGTTGACCTTTCGTGGACACACTTACTAGTATTGCAAGATCATAATGAGTACAGAATGCTTGAAGCAATCGCTAATGATAAAACGCCGCTTAATGATAGAAATATCATTAAGCGTTGCAATGCAACGCTTAATGTCATAAATTATTGCATTTATGGTTGACTTTCTCAACCGCTTAATGATATAATTATTTCATTAAGCGGCGATTTAGCGGTTGCTACAATGCTCTGCACTATAGTTCTAACGGTTAAGCATTAGGTCCCTGAGAGAAGTTTATTGTGTATCAAAGACATGGAATCTTTAATTCTCCTTCTTTTAACTCTAGAACATACTGCTTCAGATAAATATTTGCATAATCAAAATAAATTGGGAATTCGTGTTTAATATGGGATTCAAGTTCTAAGGAAAGTTGAAAGTCTAATATTGTAATTTATGAAGGGAGGAGGTGTCTTCTTCGCTTATCTAAAACGATGTAATCCGAATTATCTTTAGGCACACTAATAATTTCACCCATCCACTTTCAGTAAGGTATATACATGTATTTGGATTCATCATATCTGTCTGAAAGTCTGTCACTAACTTTGACAGATTAATTAGAAACCGAGACTATTAGACGCTCAAACAAACATAGTACAAGTTACATTTATCATGAGGGATCTGTCTTAAGCATGATCCAAACCATTTGTAGAGGTCATTTTCCCTGATGTAGAAAGTATCA